TCAGTAACGAAAGTAAACTCGAATCTCAAATGAATTCCCACATAACTGCAGGAATACCGTTCCCTGAAAACCATCCTTACGTCTTTATCGCCTGGAGCAGACAACGATTAAGGCAAAGGATTGCTTGGCACCGTGAAGCACGGTGGAGCGTGTTCCCTTTTAGCCACTAAGGCAGCCGTGAACACCTGCGATGAACCATGAAACGCTCAGTCAACGAGGCTCTGGCGGATTACTATAATATCATGACTGGTGATCATAACCTCCGACTGGTTGGGAAACGACTGTCACTGTTAAGCCGGTCGATAAATGTGCTCTACTGGAAGACAGTCGCCTCCCCTGATTCGCAAATAGACGCCTTCTCACATTGGAGTAACGTGACTGCTCTGTCGCTCTTTACGTCTCCCTTGCTTCAAGGAAACAAATTATAATAGAATAATTAACCAGAAGAAATATGAACGAAAACGACTGCACTACGACTTCGGTCCCTGGCTCGGCAACGCGCAGTAACACGAGGACATTCTTCTCATTGGCGAAACGATTGTCCATCGACTATGCGCACATGATTATAAACTACGTTTAACGATGTTTGCTTCGGCGGCTGTCACGATTGTTCCAAATAATGGAGACAAAAGAAAATGCTTACCAAGAGACCACGGACCAATTTGTTCACTTCGTTCATAACGTTTAGATCGCCTTTGTCTTTAGCCAACTTGATCAGGGTTCGCAGAAAACTGATGCATTTCTTTTCGGCCGCGTCGTGGGTCAGCGCCAGCTGAGGTCGTGGAGTGTTCGCCTGCACGGACGACGAGGTGACGAACGTCGTCGCAGTGCTACCGGGTAAAACGGTCGGCGTACGGGAGAGGTTCGTGGCCACCCCCGCCGACGCGTTGTGAGGCAGAAGCGGAAGATTTACATTGTGCTTGTGTGACGGAACTCGAGCGTTCACGACCAGCGGAGATGCAGAGTCGGGAGGTATCAGAGCATGATGCGACTGTGACTGCTGCGCACCATGTGAGACCTAAAGTTATCGCTTTAAACGTCGCTTTTAGCAGCTATTCCGATGGAGCAAATGCAAACGAAGCATGAAGGTTCAAAGCACACGACGACGAAATTCTACAATATGCGCATAATGCACAACAACGGCAAAATCGTAAAATCCTATCAAAGCGACCTTACTGGTACTTCATTAAGTGTTGTACTAGAACGAGCCCTTGTCAGCGTCGCAGTGCAGCAGTCATCCAAGCATCCTCGTCAAACTCACATACTGTTCGCCGTATAATCACGTAAAACTGTAGAACCAGACTACAAGGACGCATGTATCGACTACTGACGTGCATCACTGCAGTTTGAATAAAGTACCATGCTCACACCATTATTGTTCAACTCATTGTTGAAAATAGATGCGTTCAATTATATACGGACATTTCCTCTGCCACAAAAAAGCAATCAAATAATTCCTTAAATTAAAGGACAAAAATGGGGATTATAACCTTGATTAAAATATTCATCGGAATATATTCACGGGGAATACCCTAATCAAATGGCAGTCCTCTAACACCGAAATCGATAGCTCATCCTTTGGCTTAACTGATATGACAAAATCAGCTATTTGCAATTGTCGCTATTTCAATAAGTAAGTAAATTTGTTTTTTCCTGTTCGGTACCCTGATCGAGTCGAATATGGTTGCGGAAGCCGCGAGGTTCGACCTACCGTGTCAGACGAGTTGGTGCAGACTAAATGGTCCGAAGTGATCTCGCTCTCTTCTAGCCTTCTACAAGTGCACGGTTGATTATTAATGGTCAACGAAAATCAAAAATTTCATAGCATATGCTGCGATATCTACCGTTTAACTGCATATACTGCGTTTCAGTGAGTGTGTAGTGTAAAAGCGAAGCGCGATCGTGAGGCGCGGGAATCGGACAGCATCTCCATAAATCTGGCACGCACTGGCATGAACAGAACAAAACACCGTGCTGTCCATATTGTACCCAGGTTAACGACTTACTGCGCGTTGCTCGCCTGGTTGCATCGAAACAGAGTGGGGTGAATTTCCTGCTCAAGGGAATCAGCCGTTAATAACATAATTTTACTCCTCGCATGAATTTCAACCCAACGCTTGCAAAGAGCAACTCATATCTGCAGTGAAGTACCGACTTTGCGAAAATGGCACGGGCTATCTCTGAAAGACTGAAAATTCCCATTTGAAAAAATGCTCTTGTCTGTGCCTCAGTGCTAACCTACGGACAAGAAACGTGAACCCTAAGCCTGAAAGAAATTCATAAACTGCAAACTACATAACGCAGTATGAAAAAATGTGCTGGGAATAAAATAAGTAGACAGGAAGACTAATGAATCGATTAGAGCACAAACAACAGCTGTGATGTCATTGCATGAATAAAGAAATTGAAGTGGAAATGAAAAGGGCAGTTGTAAGAAGAACTGACCATTCCTGGACCAGAGACACATGACACTGGGTTTCAAGAGACAACAGACGAGACGACCCACAGATAGACTTTCAGATCGACGATAGGATCAGCCAAATAGCATCAGGAAGGGTATGAATCGCAGAAAACTGAAGTTGTTGGTAAAGTCGGGGAAAAACTTCATTTGGCAATGGATCGAAAAAGGCTGATGATGATTACCTCCGCAGATGAAATGCAAAGCAAACAACATTTCCACAAAATCACTGCCTTGTCACGTTCGCTGAAAACGAATAACGTAACGAAACTTGTTTTTAAAAGAAGTCTAGCGGGACATAGAACAGCTGCGTAGCTGGAGTTTGAACGCCACCACAGGTGACAGTTCGAATCGAATCGTGACGTAAAGTTTTTGCTATCTGCTGATTTCTTTGAGCAAGGAACAAACCGACTTCGATTTGGTACAACTGGCCAAGACACTGGTAGCAAGTAACCACGGAACAACAACAGGAATAGCACTGTATTGTGGTGTGCTCATATCAGTGCATATGAACCTTGTGGCTATACCAATCGATGCAATGGCGCTTTACAACTACAAAATGCGGCTGTACGTGTGATAACTGACACAACCAGTACAACACAACCTGTAAGGAAAAAATGCATAAACTAGGAGAATAAAATGTGTAGGACGAAACGTCAGATTCTTCGGTATATTCTTTTGTCCTGTTTGTTGTGGCAAATTAACAGGCTCGGTTGCTTACATTTTTGATGCGGTAGAGGAAAATCCAATACGTTGGATTAGCAAAATGATTAATTCACTCGGTAATAAAACTCTCAGTTTACAGAGATTTTTTATTTCTCGGTACTAAACTAATTCTTCGAAGCAGGTGTAATATTATGAACGAAAGGAAACTTGGAATCGAATGTTAGGAATAAATTAAGTGTGTCCCATCGGCTACCAGCGCGTCGTGGCACCGCTCCTTTTCTCCAAGACGACTGTAAGAGCATGTTTGCATACCATGGTCAAATGGTATTTTAACAGCTTTATGCATCGTGCAAAATTTTATCAAAAGCAGATTTGTTCATTAAAAATGACTAACGCAATAATGTTATATAGATCGGTGGAAAAGATCTGTCTGTCAACGCATTTCCGACGTTCGAACCTATATTCTGGAAAGAGCTTGAGTTAACTGTAGATAAAAAGTAATTACAAAAGAATCAGCTTAATATTACAAGAGGAACATGTCGCCCGAGAGAGTCATGGAACCGACGGCAATCCTACGCGACTACCTCAATGTCAGGTGGTCAGAGGTGTAAATATACAAGTCTTCTGACACAAAACAAGCAAACAGTGGACTGCGGAAGTCGACTCACATGCTCTGTCAGTTAACTACGTGGGATCATGCTTGCTAGCACAAACTTTAGTAGAGACAAAGATACGATTCAGAGGCCACATACGTACAAAGTTCTTCCAGATCAGAGGAGACAGGTAACAAATCAAGTGACTAGAATCTGACAAGTGACAATGACCAAGTATCTGTTTCTCAATTTATTAAGTTACGTGTAGACAATCTGTAAGCTTATACTGCGAACAGCAAACAGCGTCGCTTCCTAGTGTGGTACGAGTTGGTGGGCAGAGAACACATCAACTTATGTTTCATCTGACTCATATGATTCTCTCTGTTACGTTCTTAGTGGACCCAGCAGGCGATACTAAAGCGCACTGTTCGAAGTACATGTATGAGAGTGGACAGCAACCACCTCTCACTCATAGTGAGCACAATGAGAGTTTGCCTCTCGGTGTTAAGACTAATTTAGCGGACTGCGGTGGTGGCAGTTTTGCTTGCGGCTATCAAGAATGGTGGAGCGAATCGATAAACACGACAGTCATACCTGGAGAGGAAGCGTTACGTTTTGTCCGAAAGACACACCGGCGCTGCCGGTTGGTGCAGTTACCAATAATAGCTGCCCGGTATTGGTCCGCAAGATTGTGGCTGTGTGCCTCGATGGTACGGTCGCCTGCGCATTCAGGCTACCCGCTATGCTCGCCGCCTGACCGGTCGCTATCTGAAAATTACGAAAAGACAGGTAATAATAACGTCGTGGTAAACACTATCGAAAAGAATAATTTTAAGTACTGCCTGTATAAATGTTCAACAAATAACGACAGAACAATAAAGCAACATTCATGCAACATATAGACGTGAATTACCTTAGAAGCTCTTCGCAAGGCTGCACCAGGTTACAAGTTTCATTCCCTCCTTTTCGATCCAAAAACTCACAACGAAGGATCGGGAAACAGGTATGGAAATACAGAAGAAAACTGATGAACAACAACTTATTAACAACTTATTATCGTAATCAGTAGATTATGTTCGTTGTAATATCCGTCTTCCTTGTTTGAAAGTTTCGCCGATGCCATCGGCTCCATCAAGCTCGAGAACAGCCCAATGGAAACGACTCTTGATAGGAGTAACCAAGTGTGACACGAGGTCTCAAACAGCGTCTAAGTAGCCTTCGTCAGGTTGTTCGAAGTGTGACTTACGAAATCACCATCTTTAAAAGAACTTCAATTTTCCAGAATGCAAGGCAATTGGCTAACCGACTGAGTGGCTGATTGACTTTGAGAAATGTGGTGATTTAGGCAAAGCTGAATTATTCGTCAAAGCACCGGTACATACTCAAATATGGTCGATCAGCAAAATGCTTGTGATAATTTCTTATTGAATCATATAGATGGCATGAAATATGAAACCTGCCAATCGCAATCTTAACAGCAGCTTTATCATTTTCGTAGATGAGCTGAAATCCAGTCAGTCAGAACTCTTGAATTTGAAAATAAGACGACTGGTTTAACGTTTGGCACGTTGCTAAGTTTATCCCAAATTTTGTATGCGAACATCGGTGTGTACTTCGCCTAAGTGAGGCAGACTTGTACGTAGCGTCAAGCGGTAAGGAAAAGTCTCGTGTCTGTAGCAAAACAACATGGGAACAGTCAACAAACTTTGACGCTTCATCGGAATAAATGACAAGACAAACCAAAGGAATGCAAAATTTTAACTTTTCATCTTTTCAACTCGAACAGTTTTAAATGTGACACAAGATTCGCTTTTCTCTTTCAATCTGAATTTTCGGCTTCGGCACAAAAGCCATCATCAGGGATATTTCATCAACGATAAAATGGATGGATGGGAACGTAAAATTTGATTCTAAAACTGAATCGGGATAGGTCAGCTGGTAGAGTGCCAGACTTGCAGTAGAGCGATCGCGGGCTGGAATCTTGACCGATCAGCTCACTTGTAATCCTTTGGCCATTTAGTCAGTCAGCTCTATAGTTGTCATCCATCTGTACGTCGAACACTTAGTCACTCAAGAACACACAGACAGCAAGATCCATAGCGTTAGATGAGTCGTGAGAGTAAACTGATTTCAATGATAGCTGCTTAAGTCAGGCGTTCTCTGGCGTTGCCACCTATTCGTTTATTTATGTATGATGGTTTGAGTTTGAGCATCATGCTTTCATACAACTTTAATGCTGTGTGCGCAAAAGTATCTGTTGCTAGAGGTTCGTTTCGTCCGCAGGGTGTTGTATTTTTAAAGCAAAATAAGTTCTACCACGAGGTAAAGCACTGCAGCTGCTCACTTTCATGTTGCTGGAGAAATGCATCTGTTTCACGCCCAGCAGCTGCGGGTTACATTTCAGATACAATGACCACAGCCTTCTGAAGATAGAGAGGATACGGAAAATCAGTGGGATGAAGAAGAATAGAATGAGGAGGAGCAGGAGAAACAGGACTAGTACAGGAAATGTAAGGATAAGGATGAAAAAGACGATGAGGACAAATTGATACAGGACGTTCTCTATCAACAGGGACAAAATTTTCGTTTCACATGGCAGAACGAGATTTATAATCAAAGAAGTCAGTCGTCCATAGAAAGCGGTGACTGCCGGTAGTCAGGCAACAGTGAGTTAATGAGAAGGGCAACTAATTTTGTCATGCGCAGTCATCTTCTTGTTGATATCGCCCAGCTACTATCTCGTGATTCTGATGTACAAAAACGAGTATCAGTACGCGTTGAACGAAACATGAGGTTACACGGTATAGTGGATACAACGCACAGCTGTAGATAGTACCTTAAATTAAAAGCGGGTTGACAAAATCGAAACGGCGATAAGAGCCGTCCCGTCAGCTCTAAAAACAAGGTAGCCGTAAATGTTCATACGGTAAGTCTTGGAGGATGTCACCTAACACGAGAAGGAATTAAAGTATATCAACAGGTCCCACTATCTTAAATCCATGATCACAGGTCACGGACGTTGCGAGGCAGCTGTTCGAGGAAGGAGCAGCAGGGCCCGAACTGCTTACAATATGCCTGTGCAAGATCTGTGGACGTATCGCTGTTGGTAGATCGGTGAAATCTGTGTATAACAAACAGCTGTTCGGTCAGTATCACGCATACTGAATCAGTACGGACCATTACCAAGAAGTAAAGTTTTCAACCCTTACCATTACATAAATTTTCCAACTGACAAAATAAAAAAACTAAACTTTCAAGTTTCGGAAACGCGGGAGGTTGACGAGAAGACATGCAGCATATCGACTATGCAATTCGTGAAAGACTGAGCCCTTAATGGAAAAGGCCTAGAGGAAGATCAAAAAACTCATGATTGGAAAGCGTAGGGACTCAATAACAGCAACGGAACTCGGAAGAACTTATCGACATGTGCAAACCTAAGCCTGACACAATGACTGCTTTGAGATCATATCAGACAATAAGCAAACGGCAACTGCAAAGGAAAGTCAATGTGAGGATGTGCACTTATTTAACACTTTATCGCCATGCATGGTACAGCAAAAGAAGGGAAAAGGAAAGTCAGTACCCTTTGGATGTTGGTCGGGCTCAACACTTTCATTATCGGGGACAGTTTGTTGAGCGTTTCATTTTGATTAAATCTACACTGCAGCATTGAACGCCATTTCCATCCCATCAGACAGGAGTGCAGACAGAGTCCACAGGTATGTGGCAAGCATAGCGTGTAATCTTCGGTTTCCTTCCTAGGAAGTGGTACTCATTCATCAACTTTGGAAAGAAGAGACGCAAATGACGCGATTAACGCTCGAATCTGCGACAAACGCCCGGTTCTGAGTTCGACGCCCTACCGACTGAGCAACCCCCAGTTTGGTATACCATGTAGACGCAGGCAAGATCAAGGAACCGCCGTTCGGTCGAAGCATCACTTTGATTAGTCGCTTCACGGACGCTCTTCTGCGCATATTACCGAATTTACAGCATCCCGTTCACGACTTGTTCGAACGTGGAACCTCAGACCGTTCAGATCTGTCAACATCTGATACACGTAAAGCTGCACAACGGAACATTCATCGCCTATTTATAACTCATGTTCCCCTCCCGACAAAAACTTCATATCTAAGCCTTACGGCATCGACACTCAAATGGCATTTCCACCGTTTCCAACATTTCCGTTGATCCACCATTATCTTATTAAAAATTAGATCGAATCCTGGCGATCTGTGATTCATAATAATAATGGTTCATGTTCTTCTGTATGATCTGCTATGCCTTAAGGCTTAAAATTTGTGCTTGAAATATAGTAAGCTATCTGTGAGAGTACGACCGACGTGTATGTCTACTGTGCTAATCACCTGAAGTATTTGTGTAAGCAAAACGTCTCTGGCTTGTGATGATCTTTTGCAGCTTTTGCATACGGCGCTGGCTGCATCATCATAGAAAGAGCAATTCCTCTTCGAAAACAGCTCTGATTCCTGCTGGCCCTCCGGTTGACGTCTTTCGTATTTTGACACACACACACACACGAGAAACCGCAGCCTGCGATATGTGGTATACGCTCAAACAGTTAGTCGAACAGGCACAATCTCCTTTTTTCAATCTCCGCATCTGCCCAAGAGCAATGGCAACAGAGAACGAAGCATATTCCTAAGTCTTTCTACCACTTAACCCTCATTATATCTCAAAGCCGACGCTGCAGTACGCAGTTCAACTGTCGTTCCTCTCCATCAACCATGTGCTGTGAATCATTACAGTAACCAAAGCCCGCGCTTAACGCTATGTATTAAAAAAGCCATGTAAAATGTAACTATGTCGCAGTATTTCACTACGTATCTTTTTCGGCCCGACCTGTTCATGTTTAAATGACTAATATTGGTGTAGCAAGATGGGAGGAATTTCTTGATGAACAAAGTTTAAAAACAATTATTTGAAAACAGACATCATACATTCAGATCATGTGATGATGACAGTAACGACTGCCTCGCTGCTGCCTTTGCATTAACTGATGCAACTCAAAGTAAGCGGTGAGTAGGAATACGGTTTTTCCTATAGCCGAAAGGACCCAACAACCGTTTTTTGATCCGCTGAACGACCTTCAGCAGGGGAACAGGATCAGCTACAGCCATCGTCTTCATGTTGACCAGAAACACATGCACGAGAGCACGGTACGACAGAATACAAATTCTGCCCAGTTGTTCGGACAGTGTCCAGTCACCGAGATTAGTCGACTGTCGACCATAAATCGCTAAGAAAATTTCGGTTAATTTTGAACTGTGGCCTCCTGTTCAATCGAGGATATGAAATCAGTGCAGGAATCCGCTTTGGTATGTCGCGATGGTGACTGACGAACTGATTGAACGCGCGATGATTTGTCAGTAACTAAAACTCACTGAGTGCGAGAACAGTCAGATGAATTATGAACGAGCTGTGGTGTAAGAGCAACGAAAACAAATATATAACAACGGCCTGCCCAAGAACACGTTGGTCACTTGAGTGTATACCAGCATACTGGTAAGAAGTCATACTGGCCAGGGGCAAAAATCCAAAACGTCAGGGCCGTTGTGCACCAAAAAAACGAGATCACAACGGGCTGCAGTGACGTGTTTGTGAGAACGAGAACAAAAAAGCATGCAGTGAAACAAACTGGACGATCCATACATCCGCAACTCCTAAGACGATCCGAGGTAGCAAGAGTCACAAGATTAGAGCAAAAGCAAGAAACGAAACTTCAATCAGACGAACTACTGTCTGCAACG